CCTTTTTCTTCTTTGACACTCTAATGAACTATAGCATGTGCTGTGCAAAACAGGAATTGCTGTTATTCTGTTTGTACAGGTGTTCATACATTGGAAGTTAGGCACTGATGACATGATTGTGAAGGTTACTGCAGTGTAAAGAGGGCATTCACTGTGATGGCCGACAACAGAAAGAACGGTTAGCAAATAAAATGCTTTTTAAATGTAACATTCACATGTCATTTGCTTGGTTATCAGCCACCATATGCCAGCTTAACAGCCTGCCTGAGGTGGATTTCTTTAAGTAAATGAACACATCAACTCAGCTCCCTTGACTTCCATTCACAATATATCTCTATTTCTCTTCCTCACTCTCTCTCTCTCTGTGTGGCGCCATAGTGAAAATCACTGCAGTTCTTTCAGCCAGAATCAGTCAGAGCCAGCCTATACACACTGTCTCTCTCCCTCATTCAGCGCCTGGCTCACTCTCTCTATGCTCAACACACGCTGCTCTTCGCCTCCACACTGCATCTGTCCTCTTCTCCCTGAAGTGAGGTACCATGCATCCTCCTTTCTCCTCCTTCTCTCCGCTTCTCCGTTACCATTCTGGGGTCCCTTTATCAGACAGAGCATTCTTGCTGCAAAGCCGGGGACCATAAAAGCAGTGTAACTGTGCTTGAGGACTTTAGAGACGGGACAAGGCTGTTTGCCGGGTCTGAGGACAGCTTCCGGAGACTCTGCTGCTGCTGCTGCTTCTGTATGCAGCATCTTTGACAGGACCTCTTTCTTTGCTGTGTAACACCGCTTTGATTCCTATTAAAGTTGCAAGGAGGTCAGACTTACAATCGAAGCAATCTCATCCTGGCCTTTCATCCTTGGGCTTTTGACAGGGAGGCACGCTGACAACTCCCTTCGGTTGTATGTTTTTGTGTTGTAAGTGGAAGCAAATGCAGCTGTTCACCAGAGAAGATTTGTGAGTGTGTACAGCATTTATTTGCAAGTCTTTGCTTTTCTATGAAAGCATGTCCTTATTTTTAAGATGTGTGATGGGAGTGAGAGGGTGTCTGAGATTATGTGTGTGCATGTGTGTACAGTGTAGAAAGCACAGTGTGGTGGTACAGTGTTACTCTCCTCACTCCAGGTGTTTGACTAAAAGGCTTAGCTACGATTGGAGGGCGAGAAAGACTCCCCAGGCACCCAGAACTCTTGGCTGCCTGACAAAACCTGCCAGACACCCTAGAAGAGGCATGACAGACAGACTCCGTAAACAAAATGGACTAATTAGAAATAAGCAAAAGACCAAATTTGAGTTGGAAATGGAAAAGTGCACAGTGCTTTATATAGGATGAGGTGAGGAAGATTAAAAACAGGACAGACACAGAATGAAAAAAATTAGATAGAATGACATGTAAAACTAGGGCAGGATTGCTTTTGCACATTGCCACACTGAAGCAGCTTAAAAGTGTTCGCAGAAGACGTTAAACTGGAGAAAGCGGCACAGAAAAAAAAGAAGTCAGTCTTCTTTATGGTTTAGCAGGACCTCCTCACACCTATAACCCTCACCCCTCTAACCTTCTCCAACAACACACACTCTCAAGTGCTCTTCTCCATTGGGCGACTTTTTCAGCGACTTATTCAGTGCCTCTTTTCCTCCATCCTTCTCCCTCCATTTCCACCCTCTCTCATATTTTCAGGTGGAGTCTGACTGGTACAGGATCCCTTTCTCTACTCCTCACTCACTGACCAGGATTGCACTGCTGCCATGTCCGATCTTGATGCAACATCAGCTTAAGATTGTTCACCCACAAGACACTGAAGACACGATCTCATGCTCCCATCATTCCTGCCTATGATTCCCATATGAGATTTAGCAGCACCAGGCAGAACTGGCCTGGACCACTGACTTTCAACTTCACATAAGAATAACAAGGACAAAATCGAAGTTCCACGGTCAGAAAAAAAAGACTGTTAAGTACTTTAAGGACACAAACAAAGCTTTGTTTGTCTTGGAGCAGCTCTAGTGGCCTTTGTCAACAGCCATGCAGGTGTCATTTGCATGTACGGACCACGGGCTAAAGGCCCCGCGTAATGGTGAGCACAGCAAGCAGAACGCCACCAGCCCCAACACAGCCAGCCAGGCCCGGGCCCGCTTCCGGACCGTGGCCCTGATAGCGCGCAGCCTTGGCTCCTTCACCCACCGTTACCACCACAACCTGAAGGAGTCCACCGCCAAGCTCACTGGCATGAAATACCGGTATGTAGACTGATGGTGGGGACTGTGAGAAAGTAGAGTGAGGAAGACGGAGGAGGTGTTTTTTAGTTTAGTTTTCTCTCCTCTGCCCAGTTTATGTTGTGAAAATCTGCCACAACTCTGAATGTGAGGGGAGGAAAATTAATAAATGAATATGAATGACAACATAATATAATATGGTAGAAAGAGAGAAGCGAGACTACATAAATTAAAAGACCCTTGATGGAGACAATGAAGATACATGTGCAGTGACAGGTGATGAGTGGGAAGGTGTGTGTGTTTGTGTCAAGACATTTTTCCAAGATGCAGATTTATTGGCAACTCTATATAATTGTTCCACAATTAATAGTGTGTGTGTGTGTGTGTGTGTGTCTGTGTGTGTGTTTTAGCAAACAAGAATCTGGGACAGTTTAGGTAGTTTGGAGTGCTTAGATTTTCAGTGCAATTTGAAGAGAGAGACATTTTGGCGTGGTAATGACATAAAAATACAAAAAACATAATGTTCTTCAGGTGCAGGGAAAAATTATATTAAAAGCCTTTTTAATTCAGGCAGATTGGTTTAAAACACATACCAGTTTTAAACTCACAGTGTCTTTATCATGGCTGAAATGATAAAAACAGATACACTGGAAATAAAGATCATCAAATAATGAAATGACCAACAAATACAGGGAAAATACCCATGGTATTACCATACTAATGTCATGAAATCCACATAAAATTACCCACAATAACCATACAAATCACATCACACAGTTTAACCATCAACACATACAAATAGATAACAATTCTGACAATGAAGCTGACCAAAAAGTAGTGCCGAACATCTGTGCCAGCTGTTTGTACTGACAAAATCCTTCTATAAACAGGCGTTGGAGCACAAGTACTGCTGTAGTACAGTATGTATACTGTACCATAAGCTACATAAGGTACCACAGTGCAGGAAAATTAAGCTAAATGCAGATTATGTAGACCTGTAAAAGAAACATGTTTCATATAATAGGGATAAAATCAAAAATTTGAATGAAAAATAGAAAAATATAACCAATTAAACAGATCAAAACCATATAAATATGTTACTGTCGTTTTGGTGAAGTGCACTCCATATAGCTAAATAAATCACCCGATATATTCTGTGCTTCTACACCCGACTGTATCAAAGCTGAGTTTGATCCTTAAGGTCTTTCATGGGCTTGCTCAGTACAACCGGGCTCGGCTCCAACTAAGCCGCATACAGTTCTCAATAACAGGCTGCAACCATACAGCACTGTACGTTCTGGAACGTGTGACAGTAAAGCAGAGCAGTGCGGTAGAGCTCTACATGTGTGTCTGTGTGGGAGTTGTAACAAGGCTGGGCCAAGTAAACAATGCTCTCTTATCTCAGTGAGTGGGCTCTTAACCCAGACCGCAGGAGCAAAATAGTAGCTTTCACCTCGAACTGTTAACTCACCAGAGAGGGTGACATCATCTCTTACAGTGTTGGGATCAAGAGAGAGACACAGGGAGAGGGACTGAGAGAAAGAGGAGATGATGGGAAGGGAAGGAGTTAGAAAGAATAATTGAATGGAAGAAAGAAAGAACAAAAAAAAGACAGAATTAGAAATCGAGTGAAACCGGAAATTGGGGCACACGGGTCAGTTCACAGAAAAGAGGCAATTAGCAGAATCTCGGCAGATTGGATGCAGAGCAGCTAAATGTGATAAGTGTCTGCTTGTCACACAATCTCATCTCGTTTCCATAACAACATTAAAATGGCCAACTTCAATCTGTTCCCAGCACCAAACAAGCCTGGTGACTCCATTGTGCAAACTGCTCCAGTATTTCACCTTTATTTTTTTTCCATTAACCAAGAAGATTAGTTTTGAAAAATCTAATACTCCAGTATTTCACCTTTATTTTTTATTTTTTTTAAAGCTACAAATTCAACCAACAAAGAGGCACTTGCTTGTTTCGCTGTTTTCCTTCAAGAAGAACTGCTAAAACAGAAATGTTGCAGTGCTGATGCAGGAGCGATGCAAAGTGCACAGCTTCTGTAATGTGTCTGTTGTTTATTTTGGTTGGCAACATGAGGATTTGCTCATCCTTGTAGCTCCTTCTAAAAACAGGTGGAGGATATTAGCTGTAAAGCTTCCTCCAAGCCGTCAGCAAATCCCCTATTTTCACCACAGAGAAGCAAATATTGGAGGAAAAATCTCATCTGTCATGTCCCCTCTCTGCTCCTTGTTTGTCTGGTGTGTCCTGTTCCTCTCTCTTTCAGTACTGAATCCCTTCTCTCTCTCTCTCTCTCTCTCTTCCCAAACCCCTGACTCTAAGGTGTTTTGCTAAAGTAGATACTTCTTTGGACGTCATCTGACAGGGAAACTCTTTTTCTTGAGGTGAAGCCAAATCCGCAACTAAATCTGCTTTATACAAACTCTTTGAAGGTTTCTCTGTGCCATAAAAAATGAAGACACTTTTTCACAAGACGAGAGTGTGTCTGTGTGTGTTCGTGGGCGTATGCATCGGCTTATTCCATTACATACATGAGCGCATGTATGTGCATTAGATGAGAGCCTCCGCACTGGGAACATATGAAGGCGTAGAAAGTTGAAGCAGAAGATGTAGTGTGCAGAGCGAGCGAGCATAAACTAATAATACCACCATCCGCAGCATTTTGGTTGTCATGGTGATCCAAATATAGTATAGTTCTTGTGGTGTCCCCTAGTAGCAACCTTCTCAGGCTTTTTGACCTTAAAATAATACACAAACCCACAAACAGCACAAATACAGGCCATAATATGTGATGTAACCAAACATGCTGTTGTTGCTGGCTTCACAATTATTTCTGGTTCCTGGTAGGGAGCCCCTGCATGACTGGATTGAAGTTCATAACAGTCATTAGGCAACAGAAGGACTTTTGACAGTCCAGGAGGTTTGGGGAAGATTGCGCTTGGTTGGTTCAGAGCTGTGCTGCAGATGGGCGTGCAAAAAAATCCCTTCTGTTGGTTCCTTTGGATGCAGGCTTATCAGTGGCCAGCAGAGTGAGGCACCCTCTGCCGTGTATACATCAGTGTGCCGACAGTGTGAGGAATGTATAAATCAGCCGTATTACGTGTTATAATAATAGCCAGAAAACTGTGGTTCATTTCAAGGTACGCTACACTTACACACAGTGGAGCTGAATTCAAGTTTTGGAGGAAACATTAGGGGGTTCTGTCCCATTTGTTTGTACGATGCAGCCCCAGAGCGAATGTCATGGTTGCATTCATGGATGACTTCGTTGTGCCTCTAGCTTGATCCTTTTAATTAAAAATCGTTTCTTCTTTTGACTCCCCCCAATTTAATAACCCAATGGGCTATCAGACCTTAAAGCAAACACACTGGTGTAAGTGAGTTCGGTTAACACTATCATTTCTCCTGATTCACCTAAATCATTGACAGAGGAGAATGGATTTTTTATACTCAGATCTCAAATGTTTGAAATTTTAAAATTACTGGTCACATGCAGAATATTATTATCAATTGGAAAGTATTGTGTTGTGTTTAATCAGCTCGGTCAAGGACACTTTCACTACAATAGTTTGGTGGAGAATACACTGCAGATTCTTTTTACATATTTAGCATCGAGTCAGAAAGCAATCTGCATTTTTATTCACTTCAAACCATTCAGTGGGTTTAAATGTGGTGTATGAGATTGGTTACACAGAGGGCTGCAGTTTATAACAGTTATAGTGAGGACTGACAGCGATAAGATAGCAGATATTCTGCTGCTGTAGCCCTTGTCAGGATGCATCATTAATCATTTGCTTCGTTGTTGCTCTGTGTGTGTTTACGTTTCTTTTGAACTCTGAGTATGTTGCAGGTGCATGTGCTAGTGCCTGTGTGTGCATATGTGCATGACTTAATGCACGTCTGCACTCATAGAGCTAATCATGTTGCTTTTGCTCAGAGTATGGTTGAGTAGTGTGTATCCAGGGCTCTGAGTTGCTTGTTTGTTATTTTTCATCATAAATCAAAAGTCTTCATCAGTCTTCAATAAGATAGATGTATTATTATTTCCCAACATCATTTACTGCAGTTCTTGTTGTGCTGTGATGTGTAGTTTTAATAATATGAACTGGGATGTTGCACAACAGGAGCCCTGTAGCGTGGAGCTCCACTCTGCCTAAAGACCAAACAAGCCCCAAAGGATAAGAACTGCCCAATATCTCAGTTAAATAGCCAGGACGTTTGCATAGACTTCTGCATTTTATTTAAAGGTCATAACTTTAATGGTTTTCTTTAAGCATAATGGGTTTATAATAGTGTTGCCTTGCAAATGCAATTTTGGCTTTTTCCTCCTTAAGTGGCCCCTGTAAACAGAATGTAATCGCAAAGATAATTGGAAGTGATACAATCGAAATAAAACACTGCTGCATGTCTATAACAGTAATACCAATAGCATGAAATGACTGTAAATTGCAAAAACAAAGCACAGTATTAAATAGCCAGATCATCCTCACCATGAAATCTATCTGAGCCATCCTCTCTTTTTTATTATTATAAGTTTGGCAAATGTTAACTGAAAGCACCAACTGACCTCACAGAAATAATTTGATAATTTGTCAGCAGAATGCCTGTCTGGGCATTGCAAGATAGTGTATATTTATTTTCGATTATTGTAATCAAACCCTAGGATCATAATTGCTATGTAGTGTTACATATAAAGCAACTCTTCTGTCCAGTTCCGTCTAGAATAATCTCTACAATCCTTGAAAAGGCAGCGCAAAATGTTTTCTTCGTTTCGATGCAAACCAGTGAACAACACCACCCTACTAAAAAAGATACTGTGACATACTTTCTACCGGTACGCTACTGTATGAAGGTTTTCCAGTTATCATGATATGACTTTTTTTCCCACATTGCTAAGCTCTCTCTGAAATCGTTCTGAATCAACCACTTCAGATCTGCCCACATGTTTTTCAATACAGGATCAACCCACAGGCCACTAGCTTCAATCATGTGTCCCTGCCTGAAATACAGTTGTTCTGTGTGAGATTCTCTACCTATCAGTCCCTCAGGTTTTCTCATGCGATGTTTGAATTACATTTTGGAAAAACTAAAATAACAGCGCGTACATGCAGAAGACTGTTCGTGCAGGTCTGTATACTGCTACAGTTGTGGACTTCGGCCCTGTGGAAAAACAAAGCAGAAAGTTGTGTCCACACTCTGGCTCTTTAATACACACACACAGACACATACAAACATGCACATCATGCAGGGCCCTGTAGGGAGTTGGCTGTCATTTCCGATTTCCCATTCTGTGTCATATAGAATGCTTTATCTGTAGAGGGTGTTTGATCTGCTTAGTCTTGGGGCTTGGACTTGCAACTCTGCAAACCTCAGTCTGTTGTCGGTTTCGCTTGGTTTCTGTCTCTCGTTCTCTCTTTATTGCACTTGTTCTCCTTCTCTTCTCCATCCTTTTCCATTTTTCTGTTATCAGTGGTGAAGATTCAACCATAGGGCCTGTAGGCTTTATCAGTGATTTTTTTCCCCCTAGCAACTGCTGCAGCTTGTCTTTCATACTTAAAGTGCTTGCTTCAACTTCCCTACTTTCTTCCCACCCACTCAGGCCCCAGCTTTGATATATTTAGAATATGACCCGCCTTTCTACCCTACACTGAATTATTTTGATAACAACATTATGGTTGCCATCAGGAGAGAGCAGTGGGAACCGAGGATGTGGGTGTTGTCTAATCCCTCCGCCCATGAAGGTTGGTTTGTGTGGGTTTGCTTAGTCTACATTAATCCCCAGCGAGTGAAGAGTTTTATCTATTTACTCTCAACCTTGACAGAAGTGTTAGCTGACAAATATTGATTTGAACAATCCAATCTCAGAAAAGGAGTCATAAGAAATGCCCTGGTGTGACTTGAGAACCATATAAAGGCTTTCCAGGAAAATAAGACAACAGCCTCCCACAATAAGGGACCCTCCTAAGATTTAAGCACAATAAATTGGCCAGATGTTCATTTGATATTTTCATTTCAAGTGGGGATCCACTAAGAATAGAACGGGCTACATGCAGTAGCAGCTCGCAGGATGTTCATAAGTGGTGACAGGTTTGTCTGAGGGGGCGTCTTCAAATGACTCATTTGTCATTTTACTTCAAGGCTTCTTTTGGGCACCATCCAAGCATGAGGGACCGAGCCACACTCACTGGGTTGCAAAGTTGTTTATGTGCGAGTTTGTATAGACAAGTTGTTCTTGCCTTAGTGTGTTTATTTTACAATATAAAGAACATCTGCCTCTGCATCCTAGCAGCTCTACACACAAGCACCTATTTTCTCTTACATACAAAGTGTTTCATTGTCTTTCCTTTGTTGCAAATGACATGCTGTAATCTCCTGAATCATTAGCTTCTTTTGCAACGTGCCTCTGCTGGCACCCACTTCCGAGACCTGGACAGCTCTATTAAGGCGGTATAGCAGGCTGTGTGGTTAATAATCAGGTATGGCCAATGCTGCTGCTTCCTGAGTCCCCAGAAAACACTGGAGACAAGAATACAGCAGCGAGGCGGCTTCTCCGCCTGCTGAACGTCAGCTTTGTTTTTCTCCCATCATCAAGACAGCCTGTACGCATTTAAAGCACAAACACTGCAAATTTGGCTCATGGAGGATCTCCAAAAACAAAGTTAGCAGTTTTCCAAGGACAGCCAGCTTTATTTGGAAATGGAACGTGCCTGCAAGTTTGTTTATTGTGCAGACAGTGTGCATGAATGAGCCACTACATGAAAACAGTTATCAATGAAAACCCAAGCCAAAATGTATGTACGATTTACAACACTTTGAGGCATTAAGCAGATGCTTTAGTGTAGCAGTGAACATTCCTCATCATCAACGTCCTCGATAACCCCGACCGAACACACACAGATTCAGTGAGTATTGCACTTCTAACCTACAGTACAGCCCTTCCCCCACACTTTCATGGATCAGAGCTCCCACTCTATAATACATCAGAGAGACGGAGGATACAATATCCAAACTCCTCCACCATATCAGAGACAAGAACACATCCCACGATTTGTTACTGCAGAGATATGTGTCTTCTAGTTTTCTCCTGTCATGTTATCATCAGTTCCTTAATTGCACAATACATCAAAGTGATTTGATAAATGTATCAAATCACTCAAAACGTAAACACACTCACTTATATGTTTTCCTTCTTTATTTTGGTGGCTCGGTTGAACTACTGACTCGATGACTGATACTTCCCCATGTTGAACATCTAATTGAATTGGCTGAGGGCACAGTTAGATAGCACGAACTTATTAGTCTGCCAGTTTTTATACGACCTCATTTGTTGTAATGAGTAAATGCCTGCAAAACCGAGCAGAAGGCACAATCCTCCAGACCAGAATTTGAGGTGGTTTCTGTGTCAAGAAATATGTATATTTGGATGTATTCTCCTCTCAAGATGAAGTGTGTTGCTCGTGATTGGGGGTTTGTGTGTGCATGTGGCCTTGATGGTTCTGTCAAACGAATATGTCTCAATTTCACAGCATTTGCCACGAATCATTTCCTCTATCAAATGACCGTGGTTGCTGTTGCAGGGCTGTCTATCCTCTTGTCGCAGTTTTCTATCACCTACGGTCCACAAACATCACACTGCGGGAAGACACCTGTGGTGGCTGGAGGGAGAACAATCTGCTCTAGCTGTTTTCACTAGTGTTAAGTCATTAAGCGTTTGCACCACATGAGTTCCCCTCTCAGTTGTACTCGGTGTGGGACAGATTGTTAAACTAGATGTGAAGCGGAGGGTTGAGACTCAGAATCGAGGGTGGCAAGAACTCTGAAGTATTAGTTTATCTTCCATGGTGTTAATGAGAGTTGAAAGTGCTTTAAACCTTGCCACAGATCAGCTGGATGTAAATTAACTGTTTGACATATCAGGTGTACTGTTGGTCGGTTAATAGGTAGAGAAATGCATTAAGGACACGGAGAAGAGGAGCTGGTGTATGTTTTAGGAGCTGTCTTGAGAAATGCTGATATGATATAACCTCTGTGCTTGAGAGTGAGCGTGGTTGTCTGCATCTTATGGGGACAACAATAACAGTAAAAAGCCCGAGGACTGAAGTGCTCCCTGCTGTAAGAGGATGTCAAAGGCTCCGAGTATAAGAGGAGGTAATTGAATGAGGAACGGGCGGGTGAAGGGCAGTACTTGTCAAAAAGTAGTGTACCAAAATTCCCACGACTGCAATACAAACAGTAATTGGATTTTTTTGCGTAGAATATGTTTCAGGGTCAGAGGAGGTGGGATCCATATTGTTGGAATAAATCAACTGTCCTCCCCTCCTGTAATTTCTCAATTTTGATTCATGATTGCAGGTGTGATAAAGGTGACCCTCACCTTTGGTGATTTTCCTCTCGATCTAAAATGAGCATCTACCATCCACTGTTATTGTTAAACCCTGCATACTGCAATTACAATTGTTGTTGTTTTTTTGCCTATATTGTAAGCTCCACAATAGCAAAATTGCTGCATGTTATTTCTTTTCAGTCTCTTGAGTGTTGATTTGAAAACAACATAGATTTTGGCCTTGTTTAGGCTGAAAATCTTTGTGTGCGCAGAGGCCGATAACTAATTGCGGTTACATTTGACTGATGACATCTGGAGTCTAAACAACAGTGGTTTTGTCATCATAATCTGTTTTTCTTCATAGGAACCTGGGGAAATCTGGGTTGCGTGTCTCCTGTCTGGGGCTTGGTGAGTACATTTAATTAGCATCAGAGTCAAATGTCTAATGATTTCATGAGCATCAAAGTGCAAACTTAACTCGTCTGTGTGTGCGTGTAGAGCCAGCAAAATGGCCAAGCAGAAGGGGATAGTAATATTATTATATCATTTCAACCTATTCTAAACCTCATGCATCTTTCATACGTATGGAGAGTCATGAGAGACAACAGAAAGCTGTTTGCAGATTGTTCATTTTTTCCTTGTTAATATTTAATCAATAGCACTGGTTTCAGCAAACAAGTTGCTCAATTATCACACATATCCAGTGCCCACCAGAGCGTAAACACTCTCATTCATCTTAATAAGACTGATTCATTTAGCAAATCTCTTTTGTGCATGTGTGTGTGCTAGCCATATCTTTACTACGTTGCAGCATGTGTGCCAAGTCACTTGAAGGGGGTGTGTCTCTGAAGACAGAATAACTTGACGAAGCAAATGAATGATGCAGTGCTGCCCAGGCTCAGCAGATACTAAAGCACATCTAATGACAGAAAATCTGTGAATGAGTTAGTTTATCATCTCTGTACAGATTTAAAGATTTAGCCACAGTGCATTCGGCAGCAGGGAGGAATAGTGAAGAAGGAACCATCCCTCAACTTAAAGGAATTAGTTTCAAGCCTCAGTATTGGCAAGCCTCAGACATGCGGTTGTGCCCTTGAGCAAACGTTGATTCCTCCTTGTACTATTTTTCAGGAAAGGAAAGAAAAAGAGAATTTCATTGAGGGGATCTAAACACTTTTAAATCTGTGTTTTAGCATTTCAATTGTAGTATCAGTTTTTAAAGGATATAGCTCAACATTTTCTGGAATAAACTTATTTGTTGTTTTTTTAGACTTAGGTGTAAAGATTGATAACACTCTCTCATCTATGCAAAAAGTAAGAGGCTTCCGCTATCAGTCAGTTACCTTAGCTTAGCACAAAAGCTAGAAACAGGGGAAACAGCCAGCCTAAATCTGTTCAAAGCACTTCTAAAGATCACTAACACCTAATTTCATCTGTTTAATAAATACAAAAGGTGTAAAAACAAAAGACTGTGCTTTTACTGGGGCTCGTGTGTTATTTCTTGGCTTGGTGCAGTTACTTCCTGGAGGCTAACTCTGTGTTTGTACAGATTACACAAATGCAGCATATGATGCTAAGCTTTAGGGCTTTAGAGGTGCTGGTAGGTGAATTCTGTTACCTACAGCCAGAGTTAGCTGTTTTTACCATTTACAGTCTTTATGTTAAGCTATCCAGCTGCTGGTTTTAGCCACAGAATTCAGTCCTATTAATCATCTCAACTAACAAGAAAAGGAATGAGAATATTTCCCAAAATGTCTATCTAACTATTACATGCCAATTGTGCAGCAGATAATTAAATATATATATATTGTCCTAGAAAACTTAGAAAACCAAAATACCAATTTGTTTCCACTTCTGGTGCAGTTGGATAGAGATTTAACACCAGGTCCTGCATCATTTCTTATTAGTGGGAGAGGACAACAAGCAGCATGTGACAGGATCAGGCAACAAAAGGTTGGCAGGAAACTATGAAAGTTCTATCAAAAACTGTGTTCAGCCTATGCTGTTTCTAGGCAAAGGAACAGAGGCTACAACTGCTCCTTTCTATTTAAAGTATACTAATTAAGTACATCATTGCAGACTGTGCATGTGTGTGTATCCACACTCATGTATGTATTCACTTCTGTATAGCAACTGTAAGAGGAACTCACATGACCAGAGACTAAATCTGAAAATACAGGGGTGTTTATTGATAGCTTCAATACTGCTATTACGTATCAAGTCTCTTTTAGCTTTTGACAGACGACAGGTGTTGTCTATCTATCTGTACCTACCCATTTGAGGCTAAAGGGGGAAAAGAAAGGTTCAGCCAAGTGACACAACATTAAAATGTAGCTTTTAAAATGTTGAGAGGAAAATGAGAAAGCAAAGAATAAAACAAACGTTAACCTAAGTATCTGTCCTCCATTGACCAGAGCAAGAAACATAAAACTGAAAATTACTCTCAACTTTTGTGTTTCCCTTCCTCAATTTATAGTCAAAATTTTAAAACTGGGCAGCAGATAGTAATTTGATAGGTTTCTTTTTTTACTTGACCATTGCCAGCTTAGAAAAATCAGGCTGAGCCTACACTGATCTGCTGCTACACTTCTGGTGCAGTTGGCTACAGATTTAACACCAGGTCCTGCATTATTTCTTATTAGTGGGAGAGGACAACAAGCAGCATGTGACAGGATCAGGCAAAGGAAGATTGGCAGGACAATAATGAATTTCTGTCAAAAACTGTGCTCAGCCTATGCTGTTTGAAGGAAGAACAGAGGCTGGAACAGGCTTCTCTCTACATTATATGTATATGCAAGAATAGTGTGTATCAGTTCAGTCTGTGCATGTTTATTTATTTTATTGTATTAGTGTATTTCCCAGGGGGCAATGTTCATTGTTCAACAGAAACAATGAGCTCCAGTTAGCCTAAAATATTATATCTGGAGTAGTGGTACATGGCTGTTTTGAGAAGATCACATAGATTTTTGGTTACATTTAACTTAAGATATAATCAGTTTAGCCATTAGCACATTGTACTGTTAATTAAGTTTCGAAGCAGCTTGCTGTTTTGTGCAACCATCCACATAGATTACTGTATCATTGGCATATAGCTTGATCCTTACATTGGGACAGACTAAATAAAAGTGTTCCTAGTATAGATTCCAGGGGGACTCCAGTGTAAGAGTGGTAGTGAGAGCAGTAGATTAGAAGTGTATGTGCTTGTGTATGGCAACCATATGACTTCACATGACCTGAGCAATAATATAATATTGTATATAATAATATTATAAAGTAATATTGATACATGAATGTTTATGGATAGCTTCAAAACTGCTATTACTAATAAAGCCTCCTTTACAAATGCTAAGCATGAGAAGCATGTAAAAGGGGCCTGGGCAGTATGATGGCTCTGCACAAAGTCACTCACACAAACATAGTGTAAACAGGAATTCTCTCACAGGATAAAACACCTAAAACTGCCATGTGTAGAATTGGAAAATTTACCATATTGGCACCAACTAATGGTAATATCATAAAAGATACTGTGTTAGACAGCAATACTCATCAATACTGAATCAAGTCTCTATTGTGTTGTCTAGCTTTTATACATACAAAATCATGCTGTAATTATGTAAAAAATATGCACATAGAAGGTTTAAACACAAGAAAGTTACAGCAGTTAACCTTTTCTCTTTCAGCCTATCAACAGTCAACCCTGACATTTGGCTGTGATGGCTTTAGGACGTGGGCGCTTGTCATGTGTCAATGCCAAAATGTCAAAGTAATAATTAATGCACAAATAAAACGATTTCCGAGGGTGGTTTTACATGCAAAGGGTCTTGTTTTTTATTTGTACCAAAACTTTGACTTTGACGTTTCCTTCAACAGGCACATGGGTAACATTTGGAGGTCAGATCTCTGATGAGGTAAGATGTTATGTCAAATCCATCATTTAGCCGTCACAGCTCATGAGTAGATGTTGGCTTTCATTATTTTAGATTGTACAAATATAACTAGTGAACAGTTGTGACAGTTTATAACACCCAATTTGGTCCCCCATGGGAGCAATTTAGTGTAAGTAGATGTAAAATGGTGTGAGTCCAACACAGTAATCAGTCCGATATCAATTTCCCAATATCACAGCAGGCTGTTAAGTCCCTGTTGGCTTTACCAAGGCCAATTGGTCAGGTTTTATTCCTCCCTGTCACAAGTTATTAAACAGAACACCTCCTCCAGTGCCTTGATCGGGCCTTGAAGGGGGGAAACACTGAACTGGTGACAGCTCATCACTGCCTGCTGACCACTGGGGCTAACTGACGCACACAGAGACATAAACAAACTCACAAGAACATAACAGGAGCAGGAGTATAAAAGGAGAAAGTCACCATGACAAAATTGGCCTTCCCTTGTACAGCTCTAAATAAACTTCAGGCACAGGAACTAGGTCAAAATAATCTGGGAAATATATTGAGCCGTAAACAACCTTAGTCAACAAGCAGCCTGTACAGTTTTACTGGTGATATGTATCCCAGCCGCAAACAGATTTTCTCTCATTGAGCTTCTTCAGGGAATTTCCCTGGCCCATTCTTTTTGAAGTGTAATTTTGGTAATATTTATAGCTGTGTATTATACAGCACTGAAGTACATGATGGGAAACTTCTCTTGTCGGTGTCAGGTGGCAGAGCAGCTGATGACTATCGCCTACGAGAGCGGGGTCAACCTGTTCGACACGGCTGAAGTCTACTCCGGGGGGAAGTGAGTGATGTTTCCGATTTGTTATCTATTGCACATCCACAGAGCACTTTTTTCTGCTCTCTCTGTCAGCTGTTCTACCCATAAGACACAAGATGTTAACAAGGTTTTGCCCCAGACCAGGAATTATTCACCTGAGGAGGCAAAAAATGAAAGGTAGCCATGACTCTAAAGTGATTTACATAATCTTATTCATCACTGGAGGCTCCCTATGATGTTCGCAGCTCAATCTAACTTTACAGGACTGGACATTGTTTCAGTGAATAATGTAGGACGCGTTGTAGCTGTATGGGGATGAATATTAATTTCAAGGTTGCTGGTGAAGTTCAGGCATACAATACAAGATGAATTTATCCTTTGTCTTGTACCCCTTCATATTTATAATCAAAAATTCATGCTATAGATGTGTGGCAGATAGTCACACTTTACATGCTCTTAGAGAAATGGCAGCCTGAGATATAATCTCATCATCTCCCTGTGTATTTTTTCTTTACAGAGCAGAGATAATCCTGGGAAACATCATCAAGAAAAAGTGCTGGAGGTAAAGTACAGTCTCTTCAGATTCTAAATCCACGAATAGGTTTTAGATTGCATGTGTGTGTACACTACATGGCCATATGTGTACAAAAACATACAGCACGTACCCATATGTTAGCATCTTAATCTGAAGATGCCTCTACTCTTCTGGGAAGGCTGCAGAGATTTGCTCCTATTCACAGAATTATCGAGGTCAGGCACTGATGTTGGGCTCAACCTTGACTCCCAGTTGTGTTGCAATTTATCCCAAATGTGTTGGCTGGGACTGAGGCCAGGGCTCTCTGCAAGCCTGTCAGGTTCAGAAAAACATTTCTCAGGCCTCGCTTTGTGCATGTGGGCACTGTCATGTTGGCACAGAAAAGGACTTTCAGGAAACTGCCACTCTGAGAAGCTGTAGCAACTTATGCACAGTGATGGTTTGAGCTAAATGTTAAAGTCAGATTGTAAAACTAGAGAAAGGCCAAGGAATCAAAGTTAATACAATACATGCTCTGGGAGCCATGAATGTCTGTACCAAATGTAACAGCAGTCCATCCAGTATTTGTCATGATATTTCAGTAAAAACTTAAAATGTCAACCTCCTGGTTGCACTAAAGGGGAAATTAGGGGATCACCAAAGTTATGAGGATTCATACTCTAGGGACCATGGATGTCCGAACAATTTGTGCCAGTTAGTATTTGTTGAGATACTTCAGTCTGGATGCAAGGGGTGGACCAAAAATAAAATTTTGAGATAAAGAAGTATGTTTTCTTTCTCATTCCTTCAATTATCTTTTGGCGTAAACAAATATTGTATGCCATAGCATTAAAATGTTCCTTTACTGGAATAAAGGTGCCAGACCCAGGGTACAAAAACAGCCCAACAGTTT